CTCTGTCCTTGATTACTCTTAATATATGTTATAGTTAAGGATTTTTTCCAATACCTGAGCTTACTTTTGGAAACTGCAACTACTCTCATGACCTCCTTATTCAGCTTTTATTATACAGTCCACAAAAAGTATGTCTTAATAAACTTGGCATACACACTTGATAAAATAGGTAGTTTTCTGTACTCACCTAAAATCATGTCTAAAGAATATTCAAGTTAGGGTAGATTATATTGTATATGACTACACCAATTGTGAAGCATTTTCTTATAATCCATCTGCATTATCCAAATTTAGTGTCCTCACAAACAGAGACAAAATTCTGAGAGTTTTCAAGCATATAGCTAAGGAATTAGTAGATATGGAATATTTAAGTCAATTTGCTAAAAGATTATTTTTCTATGAGTGGCAATACCTATAATATTATAACCAAAGTCAATGGGAAATTAGGAATCAGGTTACAAACTGTTTTGATAGATGTGTATCATTAAATAGAGTACTAAAGAGATCTGAAGTGAACTAGATTTTAGACCTGGCTTTACCTCCATTCTACTTTTGTAACCTGGTTATATGATTTAACCTCTTCATTCATGAGCTGTCAAATGAGAGTGGTGACCTCCAACTTAGCCATCTTCCAGTTGTGACTCCTCATATCTTATTTCTATTTATCACTTATATTAGATTTAGTAGCAAATAACAAGGACCCAAAATAACTGTGACTAAAACAAGGTAAAAATTTATTTCTAACATAAAAATTGAGAAGTAAGCAATCTAGGGCAGCACTGCTTCACAAAGCCCTCAAGAACCCAAGCTCCTTACAACCCTAGGGTATGGCCCTCATCCTTGTCATCTAAAATAGTGGCTAGAGCTCCGGTCATCATACTTGTGCTTTAGGCATCAAGGTGAAGAAAAGGAAAATAAGATAGGAAACAAAGAGAACACACTGGCCATATTTTAAGGAAGATTCTTGGAAACGGCCACGCATCATTTCTGATAATATTCCATTGGCCACACTGAGTTGCAAGGGAAACTGGGAGATGTATTTTTCATTTTGGGTGGCCATGTTCTCAACTACAGATGGGAAAAATGCTTACTGGGGAGCACCTTGCAGTATCAGTCACATACATCATCTTAAAAAGTCAACATTTTTAAAAGAGTAACAGGAAATCTCATTCAATACTTAGCGGTAGTGTTATCTATTTCCATAGGATTTAAGACCTTTCTATTTCAATTCATTTCAATAAACATTTCATTGTTTTCCTTTGCCAGTCACTGTGCCAAACTCTGGGGACACAAAAGTAAATAAGACAGACTTATGCCCTGTTCTCATGGGGCTTACATTAGAATGGGGAAGATCATAAATAAGTAATTATAAGTGTGAAAATTATTACATAAGGAAAAAAGCAGGGTGCTTTTATATTTGTGACAGTTTACCCACCAATATTTCTAACTGTCTGGACAAGGGAAGAACATTATATCTATTACCCATATTTGTCACAAAGGCCAAAAGGGAGTTTTCTAGTACATTAACTAGTTCCTTGCTCCCCTATCCTCTTTCCTGCTCTTTCTAGCATTCTATGTTAATTAGACTTTTTTGCATTACTCTAAAAGCTTAACCACTGGGATAAAAAGATAGAACTGAAACTGCATGAAAAGGGAAAAATTCTCTCATACAATGTAACTTGAAGAGAGAAAAAATTATTCATCAAATGTTTTAGTGCAGATAACAATGACATCAGTGGTCTTGAATTATTTAATACTTTGTTCCACAGTGTCATTTATGAGCAATGTCTTTTGCAATTCAGGATTAGAAGCATCTTAACTTTGCATTTCATTTACCCTGGTCACGTAGTTTTCAATTATACATTGTCCACGTTGGCTATGCTTCAATTCCTCTTTTCAAGTTATTAAAACTCTTCTTTGTTGAACCTGAGCAAAATACAACAGAATACATGCAAAATACAAAAGTAGAAAAAAATGAAAATAAGTAAACAATCACCCCCAAATAAATAACCCACAATCTAAAACATTGATCTTGTTATACAAAAAAAGCAATAAAGCAAATAAAAAGAGCTAAAAATTATCAGCAAACAAAAATTTGTGAATAATTCTATGTGATGAAAATATATTAAAAAGTATTTCTCTCTGAAGTGAAGGTGTTATGACATTAATGGACTTGGTGAATGAGTTTAGATTTAGATGCTGAGTAGAAGGAGCTTGAAATAGTACCAGGGAAAGGTATGGTTCAGCAGCAAGGGCTGTGCGACTAAAAAGAATAAGTAAAAGAGAGCCAATGAGGAAGATGAGATCATAAAAGCAGTCTGTTTGAGGTTCAGGTCTGAGATTTGTATAAGTAAAGTGAAAACTTTTCCATTTCAGGGACTGGAATTATGTTGAAATGAATTTTGATAAAACTCACCATTTAAACTTTATGAGTATGAGCCCATAATCGCTACCTATCCATTATATAGAATGTACCCCCGAAATTCGGCTGGCTGAATTAGTCATAACCCATTGGTATATTTTTAGAACATTTAGATATATTGGTTGCCTAAACATTTCAGGCAATGTTATTCAAATGTACCACAATCAGAATACTTCAGTAGTTTTCTCCATTTCTAATTAAGCACTAAAACATTACAAACCACTTAAAACATTTCATAAAATAGATTTTGGTGAATTATGTTTTATTTATTCTAAAAGAATTTGACAATAGCTTAACTAAAACAGTGTTGACACTGTTTTTAATGTTAATGATACTCCCCTTCAATAGAAATAAATATTGACTTGGTTATTTATTTATTCACCCAACAATTATCAGCATCCCTCTGTGCAAAGCCCTGTAGTAAGACATGTGGGGAATATTCAGATAAATCAGACAAGGATTCTGCTCATTCTAATATCACAGTTAATTTGGGAGGCTAAAACAGATACATAAATAGCTATAACATGAAATAGGAAGTGGTAAATGCTAAAAGAGATGTGAGCATAAAGTTCAAGAACAGTGAGAATATATTGCCATCAGAGATGTACAGGAAAGGCTTTGTGGAGAAAGAACATTAATGCTGAATTCATTCTGTCTTTCAAAAAAAAAATCTACTGGAAAGGTCCCAGCCCTCAACGAAGATGCAGTCCAACAGGGAAGGCAGACAATGAGCAAATAAAGATTTGAGAGTGTAGTGCTACAGGGAAAGGGAAAAAGCTTGGTGAAATCAAGAAATAGGTAGAAATGGGACAATGTGGGCAGAGTGTAATGAGAAAAGGGGATAGTGATAGGAGATGAAGTCAAGGGGTAGGTAAGGTTCAAATCATATAAGACCATGTAGGCCATAGTTTGGATTTTACTTTGGGAAGCCTAAAGGGTTGAGCAGGAGGGTAACACAATCTGGTTTGCATTTTTAAAAGATCACTGTGGCTTCAGGGTGAAGATGCTGAGATAAGAGTGAGAGCATGAACACCTCTCACTCAGGAGGCAACTGGAAGAATTCAGGTGAAAGATCATGATGACTTAAATTCTACTGATAGCCAGGGGCCTAAAGATAAGTGGATAGATTTGAAATTTATTGTGAAGATAGAGCCAAAAGAACTTCCTAATGGATTGCACATGGAATGTAAGGGGAGCAGTGGAATTAAACATGACCTTAGGCTTTTGGCTTATGAATGGCAGTGACATTTAATGAAATTGAGAAGGTGTGCAGAGGAAGTGGGGCTGAGGGGAGAGATAAACAAGAATTCTAATTTGACCATGTTAGGTTTGAGATATCTGTTGGAAATCCAAGTAGAGATAGCAAGTAGACAGTTACATATACAAATCTGGAGCTCAATGGAGACATTAGGCTAAGAATATAGATTTGTGAATGATTAGCATATAGATGTATTTAAAGCCATGGGCCTGGATAAAATCAATAGGGAGAAAGTGTTGATAGAATAGGACAGAGACTGAGGACCAGGTACTGGGGCACTTGAAAGATGGACAACATTTTGATAGGCAGAGATGAGAAGGGCATGTAACAGGAAATAATAAAGTAAACAAAAGCTCAGAGAAAGGAAAGTGTTTAGCAGAAGTGAGGAAGCATGGGTAAGCCATTTAGGGAGAGCCTATAATAGATATCAAGTCCTAGATTTGGTCCACTGACTTCACTAAAGAATTTTGGAAGGTTTTTAATTTGTGAATCAGTTCTGCTCCTGATAATATCCAATGGCTCTTTTGTGACCATATTTCTCTATATAACAACTATAAACCCTGGACAAGATCTTTTTTTAATCCTATCTTAAAACACTGGACAACAAACAAAAGCACACAAATACTGGAAGGGGTCAACATATGAAAGACAATATCAGCTCTTTGTGAGTTTCCCATATTTATTTTACAGCTTTTGCCTGAAGGCAAGTCCCAGTCTTCACCAAGCAGAGCAGTTAAACCCTCGGTCTTATTAACTTGAAGAACCAGAGGACAGAGTTTAGTTTAGAGTGAGGTGGGGAGATGGAAATCTCTGAATGGAGACAAACAGAAAGGGAGTACTTTACGTTCTGTATTTAAACTTTGCCTAAATCGTAGCTGATCTTAAAAGTACACATGTGCAGGGCAGACTCCAAGAAGACTAAGCAAGGTTGAAAAAAAATCTGAACCAAAATTTCAGCTGCTGCCCACCGTAGGGGAGACAGTCTGGAATTTGAGCTCCTGCAAGTTAACTGCCTGCAAAAACAAACATAAAGTTCCTTTGGAGGAACGGAACAGAATCCAGAATCTCCAAAACGTGTCATTTACAATATCCAGAATACAATCCAAAATTATTAGTCATATAAAGAAATAAGAAAACATGACCCGTACTCAAGAGAAAAAAGCAATCAGTGGAGAGAACCAATGAGAACGACCCAGATGTTGAAATAACAGACATAAGGAAAATATGCTTGTAATGAATAAAGCTGAGGAGTGAACTCATCACTCTGAATCTTGGGAGAATGAATCTTAAATCAGTGTATAAGATTAACTTGAGGCCTCAGTCCCGGCTGCGGCCCCTGCGGGTTACATAACCGGTTGCGGGCTCCGCGTGGCCCCACTTCCGGCTCCCTGCGACCCCAGGATGCGCTGAGCCCCACTGCACCGTCCACCGTCCGCCGCCCGCTCCCGCCCGGAGTGTGAATGACAGAGGTGGTGCCATCCAGCGCCCTCAGCGAGGTCAGCCTGCGCCTCCTCTACCACGATGACATAGACACTGTGAAGCATCTGTGTGGCGACTGGTTCCCCATCGAGTACCCAGACTCATGGTATCGTGACATCACCTCCAACAAGAAGTTCTTTTCCCTTGCTGCAACCTACAGGGGTATCATTGTAGGAATGATAGTAGCTGAAATAAAAAGTAGGACCAAGATACACAAGGAGGATGGAGATATTCTAGCCTCCAACTTCTCTGTTGACACACAAGTTGCATACATTCTAAGTCTCGGAGTAGTGAAGGAAATCAGAAAGCACGGCATAGGTTCTCTTTTACTTGAGACTTTAAAGGATCACATATCCACCACTGCCCAGGACCACTTCAAAGCCATCTACCTGCATGTCCTCACCACCAACAACACAGCAATAAACTTCTACGAAAACAGAGACTTCAAGCAGCACCACTATCTCCCCTATTACTATTCCATCCATGGGGTCCTCAAAGATGGCTTCACTTTTATCTTCTACATCAATGGTGGCCACCCTTCTTGGACCATTTTGGACTACATCCAGCACCTGGGTTCTGCTCTGGCAAACTTGAACCCCTGCTCCATCCCACACAGGATTTACCACCAGGCCCACAGCCTGCTCTGAAGCTTCCTGCCATGGTCGAGCATCTCCACCAAAGGCGGCATTGAATACAGCCGGACCATGTGATGCCAGCCGGGCAGCCTCCAACAGGTCCCACCCCTTGGCGCCCTCTGGATCTCACCTTCCTGGCCATTTGACCTCAACTGTGTTCTGCAGAGGAGCTGGCCCATCACCTGCCCCAGCTGCAGGCCCGGTGCTACATGGGCTTGGTAGCAGAGCGTCGTGGGGCGGGTATGCCTGGTCTCCAACAGGCTCTTCAGCCCTCCTTCCTGCTCTGGAAACCTCTGCCCTTGCCCTGGTCTGGCCCCCATGTGAGTGCACCAGCCTCATAGGCTGGCCACAGTGTTCATTGTGGTCAGTTGCTTCTGCTGCCCTGGGAGTATGGGGGCAGGAGAGGGCTTCCTTTCCTGCACGTCCTCACTGGCCTCTTCCCCCGCACTGCCCGTTCCTTCCAACTCCTTCCTCCAAAGCCGGAATTAACTCCTGGGAGGGAGGAACCCAAGTGTTATGGATAGACTTGGCCCTAAAGACACAGGAGCCTCAGAACAATGAAGGGGTAAAATAAAGGGAATGCCAAACCCTTGTAAAGAACCAGCCTCAGAAGCCTGGGGGGCAGGAACAGCTCCTACCTCCCCAGGAGGGGCTGGCAAGTGGTGGGAGGTTTTTCACCCAAACACAGAGCTCTGGGGCTTAGTTCCCTGGCATGGTCGTCAGATAATGGGAAGGTTTCCCACCCCTCTGTTGGCAGTCCTGCTGTCTCAGAGAGCGAGGAACTACCCATCACATGCTGGATGTGCCATTCAGTTGAACTGCCCCAGGGAGCCGGGCTGAGGACAGGTGCTGGTGAGGGTCCCAAGGGCCCTCCCCTCCAGCCCCCCAGTTCTGTGAGATGCAGTTCTGAGGCCTGACCATATGCAAACAAGAAGAATTGAGTGTGGTGTTTGATCAAGTAGGACCTGGCCTTTGAGGCTGGGGGCAGTCGCTTGCCTTGTGGTCCTCAGCCTCTGGGAACAGACAGAAGAGGCTGTGTCAGTGCCAGGAAGCATGCATGTGGACATCACTTGCTTCTGGCGTTCCCTCCACCCCACCCCCCAAAGCTGCTTGCTCCCTGCCCTGCCCTCCAGAGTAAAGGGGGTTGGCAGAGTCATGCCCAGCATTGCTGCAGTGTCCTGGAGCCATCGCCACAGTGCACAGTCTGAGAGGGAGGAGAAGGTGGAACAACCAAGCAAGAGGGCCTCGGATTGGCATCCTTCCCTCCCTCGGAACTCCCAGCCCAGGGGCTCCTCTGGCCTTGCGGTGGGGGAAGGGGTTTCTCGAGATGAAGGCGAGCCTGCGCAGGAAAACCACCTCTCCTTCCTCGGCCACTTCACACTCTCACTGACTGGTCCCCACTCCGTGCTGACATTGACTTTGAGCTGAGGCCCAGCTCAGTGTCCTCTCTAATCTGAATCAACGGTTATCATGTGGTTTTTATTTCTGCCCCACGGGGTAAGGGAAGAGTCTTCCAGAAGGTTCTGCCTTGGACTTGCATAATTGAGCCGAGGCCTTGCCCTGCCCCTTCCTCCTTGCCCCTAATCACGGCAGTGTCTAGCCCAGTGTTGAACAGATTGTAGTGTTCTGTCTGATTACAAACAAATAAATAGACTTTAATTGGTCAAAAAAAAAAAAAGATTAACTTGAGGATGCAGAAGCCAGAGATAGGGGAACAGTGAGGAAGCTTTGATGAGTGAGTAGTCTACAGATATAAAGAGATAAATTATGACAAAAAGTTACTTTGAAAAATGTCATCTGACTGACTATGGGAAGAAGTGAAAGGAATCAGAGATTACACTGAAGTTTCTAGTATGGTTGACTGAAAGAATGGTAGTACCACAAAAGTAATAGAAACATCAATAGAAGATATAAGGCTTGGATATTTGATGACAAAATCAGCTTTCAAAATATTGAGTTTGAAGTGTTAACATGATATCACAATAGAGTATCCAACATGGAGTTCCAAATTCAAGATAGAACTATGCAAAAAATCAAAGTCAGGGCTAGGGAGAGTGATTTCTAATCATTTGATATAGAAGTGATCATTAAAGTCCCTATGAAATTGGATTCAATTTCCAGGGCAGAATACATATAGTTAAATGAGAAATAATATATTAGTTATCTATTGCTGCATAGCAAATCAAAAAAATTGTTTAAAAAACAATTATTTTGTAGCTCATAATTCTGCAGATTAGGAACTTGGGCTGAGCACCTTCTCTACTCTTTTAGGGATTGGGAAGACACCACACAGACTTGCCCCTATTGCCCCCAGTCCCCTCAGTTTCTCTCTCTCTCTCTCTCTCTCTCTCTCTCTCTCTCTCTCCCATCCCCTTCCACCTGGGCTGGGCAGAGAAAGGCAACTCCTAACAACCACTGGTACAACAGCTTCTTGGTGCCTCAGTTTCCCATCTGTAAAATGGGTACCCATAGCCATTGGTGGGATGCTTTAGAATGTCAAGCGGCAGAGGTGCAGAGCACAAGTCACACTAGAAACTGCTTTTTATATATTTTGTGTAAGGACCACTTTAGCAACAGGTGTGTTTCTAGTCGGTTTTAATGAGTGGTAGTATTGCATCACATGCTACAGATTTCAGGGTGAGAATTTTCTAATAAACCTTTCTGATACTAAAAACATTTTTATATTGGTCTCTGAAGGGTTCATTCATGTATCTGCATCAGCTTCCAGGTCAGTTTTGCTGACAATTGGTAGAATTATGTTGAAATGGATTTTGATAAAACTCAGCATTCAGCCGTAGCTGGTTTGGCTCAGTGGATAGAGCGTCGGCCTGTGAACTGAAGGGTCCCAGGTTCGATTCCAGTCAAGGGCATGTACCTTGGTTGTGGGTACATCCCCAGTGGGGGGTGTGCAGGAGGCAGCTGATAGATGTTTCTAACTCTCTATCCCTCTTCCTTCCTCTCTGTAAAAAATCAATAAAAATATATTTTTTAAAAAATCAGCATTCAAACATTATGAGCATGACTCCATAATTGCTATCTACCCATTAGATAGAATGTACATCTTTCAGGCCTCATCTGAGATGGCTGATCTCTGCTCCATATGCTCTCTCATCCTAATAATCTAAACTGGGTTCCAAGGGTTCCAAGAGAGCAAGCAGAAGTGTTCATGACCTATTAAGGCTCAAACTTGGAACTAGTACCATATTGCTTCCATCTCATTCTATTGGCCAAAGCTAGTCATTGGGCTGTCCCAGATTCAAGTAGTAAGGATATAGACTCCACACTTTGATGAGAGAAACTGCAGAGTCACATCACAAAGGCACATGGATATAGATAGGGGAATAATTTATGGCCATTTTGCAATCTACCACATAGTCAAAGAACTTTGGATTTGCACACCCATGTTTCATAGAGGCATTCTTTACAATGACCAAGTGGTGGAAGCAATCCTAAGTGTCCATTGGCAGATAAATGAATAAACAAATTGTGGTATATACATGCAGTGGAATATTATTCAGCCTTAAAAAGGAAGGAAATCTATATATGCTACATGTGGGTGGACCTTGAGGACATTATGCTAAGTGAAATACTAGTAAGTCAGTCACAAAAAGATAAGTATGTTTCCGTTTGTATAGGTATCTGAAATAGTGAAATTCATAGACACAGAATGTAAATGGTGGTGGCCAGATAGGAAAGGGAAAATGTGAGTTGTAGTTTAATAGGTAGAGTTCCAGTTTTGCAAGATGAAAAAGTTCTGGAGATCGATGGCACAATAGTGTGAATATACTTAACACTACTGACCTATACACTTTAAAATGCATCGTTATATGCTTGTTATCACAATTAAAAATAAAATATTTTAAAAGATAGAACTTTGGACTATCTTTTTAAAAGATAGAACTTTGGACTATCTTTTTTAAAAGATAGACCTTCTCCCCATCTTTTGGGGAGAGGAGGAAAAAAAGAACCAAGGGAAACCAATTTTGTCCAGTCCAGAACTAATGAAAACCAATCTAGCAAGTGGGGCTTGAAAACGGTTCTCTACTCTTCTATCTTTATGGATCACTGTCAGATAAAGGGTTTTAGAATTTAGCCTTTCTTCAGTGGAGGAAAAAGGAAAGCATCTGCTCATAAATCCTCTTCTTTCCAGGATTCTAGAGATCACAGGATTTTTCCAATGATCCAGGCTTATAACATTACTAGAGGCCCAGTGCACGAATTTGTGCACGGGTGGGGTCCCTCGGAGTGGCCTGTAGGGATCGGGCCCCAGCTTGTGCCCCCAGCCTCACAGCCCCACAGCCCTGCCTGGCACCCTGCTGTGGCCTGGCACTGTCCCCTCACCTGCTCCACCATCCTGCCTGTGGGACGATGGATCGGGGCCAGGCCCTCTGTGCCTGGCTCCTTCAGCGGTCCCCTGCTGCTGCCGCTGGTCACCTTCTGTGGAGCAATCAGTGGGGCAATTGGGCCCCGCTGGCACCCGCCTTGGCCTGGCACCACCTGCTCACCTGCTCCACCATCCCACCACAGTTCTGCTCTCATTAGTGCCCATCGGGCTGGCAGTGACTCCACTGCCACCCACTGCCAGCACTGCATCACCAACGCCTGCCATGTTCTGCGCCTCCCCCTGGTGGTCAGCGCACATCATAGCGAGTGGTTGAACTCCCGGTGGAACTCCAGGTCGAACAATTTGCAGGCAGTCCTCGGGTTACGTCAGACTCGATGTATGTCGTTTCATGGTTATGTCTCCATCTCCCATTTATTTATAAAAAAAAAAGTTTCGTCATTTCGACATATGTACATATGTGCTTTATGTTTTTTATTATTTACTTACCACAAGTAAAGGTCAGGAATTGTTATTTTTCTTTTAAATTTTTTTACTGTTTCACTTCATTACTGCTGTGTATGTGTTCCATGTGAGTGATGTAGGTGCTTATGTAGGTGGGTTCCGACTTATAGTGAAAATCTATAATAATAAAAGTGTAATATGCTAATTAGATGGGATGTCCTTCTGGATGACCTTCTGGAGGAAGCTGGGGCTGTGAGGGAAGCCCAGGTTCCGGGTGCCAGAGGGAAGCTGGTGCCAGCAGCTGGGAAAAGGAAGGCCTACTCTTGCACGAATTTTGTGCATCGGGCCTCTAGTATACTTATAATTGGCTTGTTCAAATTGGGATCCAAACAAGGTCCATTCATTACATCTGGTTGTCTCTTTTAGTATAAAACATTATTATTTTCCCTTTTTTATTCATTCCATCTACTCGTTGCAGAAACTGGGTCAACTAAACCTGAAGAATATATCATATTTAATATATTTGTCTATTTGTTTGTTTCTAGTGTCATTTAATCTCTTTCTCTAGCCCACTTTTTCCCTAAAACAGAAGTTAGCACTAGAGCAACACTGTTAAATAGAACCCTCTGTCATGGTGGAATGTTTTATAACATGCACTGATACTGTAGCCACTAACCGCAGGTGAAAATTTGACACTTGAAATGTGGTTAGTGGAAAAAGGAACTGAATTTTTTAAAAATTTATTTTACTTAATTTAAAGTTAAATAGTCACATGTGACAAGAGCTATCGTATTGGCCAGTGTAGTTCTAAATGGCTTAATTGAATTTCACTTCAGGTTTTTGGAAAGAATATTTCATAGGTAGTATTTTATGCTTCCTATTTCATGACATAAAAAGCTCATAGTGTTTATTTTTTAAAATATATTTTTATTGATTTCAGAGAGAAAAGAGGGGGAGAACATCAATGATGAAAATCATTGATTGGCTGCCTCCTGCACACCCCCTACTGGGGACCGAGCCTGCAACTCGGGCATGTGCCCTTGACCAGAATCGAACCCATGACCTTTCAGTCGGCAGGCCAATGCTCTATCCACTGAGCCAAACTGGCTAGGGCATAAAAGGCTTATAGTGTTTAATTGTTTCAATTTTGTGTGTGTGTGAATTCAGGTGGCAATAGACTAATCCCTCCAATTTCAAGTTCCCCATCTACTTTTCATCTAATAGCTTCATTCATTTACAATTGTTGCTTGAATCAATTTGTTCATTATGGTGCTTTTCTAATTATATCATTCCTTCTACATGTATAAGTCAGTATTTTTCTATAAAGAACTTTCATCAAGGAAAACCAAGATGGCGGTATAGGTAAACACCTGAACTTGCTGCCACGCACAACCACATTAAAACTACAACTAAAAGACAAAACAAATATCATCCAGAACCACGGGAAGGCTGGCTGAGTGGAAATCCTACAACTAGAAGGAAAGAGAAAAGCTCATTGAGTCCGGTAGGAGGTGCAGAGATGCAGAAGAGCAGAGGTACAGAGATGCACGCAAAAGGGGCTGGCAACTGGGTACACTGTTCTCTTTTTCAATCGGGAGGGACATACAAGCTCCTGACTGCTCTGAACTCCAGTTCCAGGTGAGACTCTGGGGACCCAGACTCATATGGAGATAAACTGGAATGTCTGGCATCGGGCCAGAACGTGGGGGCGGCTTTCTCACAGAGGTGCTTGCAGCATTCATTGTTCCTGCATGGGCCGCGGGACACAGAGACCCCGGGGCCTCTTTGGAGCAGGGCTGATGGGCAGCCATTGCTGTTTGCTCCGCCCTGGTGATTCCCTGAGACCCCACCCCACCTAATTTACAACCCCACCCAAGCTGTATGCAGAGACT